TTTAAGAGAAAGTTACTGCAAATCCTTAACCCTAGCTAATCACATAAGCTTTAGAAGACAAAAAGATACTTTTTCGTTGAGTAGTTAAGATATATAAAGTTCTGGAAATAGAGATACTCCAAGATTTTCATACGGTCATATCTGGATAATAAGATTATAGGTGATTTAAACTTTCATTTTCAAATCATCTATAATAATATATTTTAAAATAAGATATAATCAATAAATATTAAATTTTAAGATAATCAAAACCATTTTCGTCATTCCTTCTGTCTCTGTCTGTCTTTTACATATTAACACAAACCGTTTTTTTTTTTTTTTTAGTTTTAAGGCTATGGATCCCTTGTAGTGAATGTGGGGTATTCTGCACAGATCCGTTCAGGGTTGAGTCATTTATTTCCTCCAGCTGTCGGGAATATTGGCTACATTCCTCTTTAGAACTGTGCTTGGCTAAAGGGAACTACGTTTACAAAGCTTACATCTCTTCCAGGATCAGCCCATATCCACTTGACTGGTTTATATGAAGGTAAAAGACCCAGCTCATTTATTAATTTGGGACAATTCCGAAAAGTCATCACAGCTCCCGGATCCTGCCATGGGATCAGCTGAGGCGCTTATTGCAATTGCATGTGGTTAAATTTTTTCTTTTGGCCCCACCCACCTCCATTCACTTTCTTACAAATGTCATTCCCAAGTAAACCTCATAAAACACAAACATTTGTCTCAGTATTGTGGGAACATGACCTAAGACAAAATCAGGAGTAGTCCTAAGAAGCTCACAGCCAAGTTAGCAAATCTACACATAACAGTATCACTCAGTTGTTTTCTGGGTTTGGCAGTTTTGACAAGAAAGCTACCTTCATTCCTTACTTTTGTTCTCTGTGTATGTTTTGTCTCTGGCTACTTTTAAGAATTTTTTTTTAATATCACTGGTTTTCAGCAAACTTGAATTATATGTTGCTTGTTGTGTGTTTATGGTTTTTTTTTTTTTTTTTTTTTGAGGTTACTTTAGCTTCTGTGAGTTTTTCATCACATCTAGAAAAAAATTAGTCATTATTTTTGCGCCAATAATTTGTGTTCTCCCTCTTCTCTCTCCTTCTCAGCTCCATTGCACGTTAATGTTTCGTATTTTTACACGCTCACTGAAGCTCCTTCATTTTTTCAGTTTGTTTTCTCTGTATATATTATTTTAGTTTCTATTGCTATTTTTGAATTCACCAACGTCTCTTCTGCTGTATCTAATTTTCTCTTAATCTCATTCCATGTATTTTTTTCAATTTGGATATTGCATTTTTCATTTCTTGAATTTTTTATTTGGATCTTTTTTATGTCTTCCATTTCTATTACTTTATTTCTGATTTCCTTTTTATCCTATATTTATAATAACTCCTTGGAAGTTTGCCTGTTAATTCCATTACCTCTACCATTTCTGGGTATGTTTTGATTGATTCATTTTTCTCTTGACTCTCATCTTTTTTGTTTCTTTGCATGTCTGGTAATTTTTGATTGGATGATCAACATTGTGATTTTTACATTGCTGAATGCTGGATTTTGCTCTGTTTCTTGAGTGGGAAACCTTTTTTTGGCACACAGTGCTACTTGAAGACTAATTTGAACATTTTAAGGCTTGCTTTTAAATATTAGAGTAAATCCATAGCAAATTACTTTTATTCTAAAACTAATTTGGCCCTGCTACTAAAGCACAACCATGTTGACGATGCCACCCAATGTCCCCTGTATTACAAGCTTTCTCCATTTTGGCTGATGGGAATGTGAACTATTCTTAGCCCTGTGAGACCCAGGAACTATTTACTGCTTTCCAATCATTCTTTCCTTGGCTTTGTTACATTACCACTCAACTCATTTCCTTTACCCCATGCTAATTAATACTCAACAAAAACCTCTAGGGAGGACTACTCTACAGATCTCTGGAGCTTTTTCTCTGCAGCTCCCTGAGTCATTCTGAACTCAGTCATCTTTGGTTTCTCAATTGCAGTGAGACCACTGGGCTTTAGTTTGGTTCCTCTGCTGGCAACTGCCTTCAGGCAATAATTTGGGGAAATCACAAAGCTCATCACCTGTTTTCCCTCTCTTGGGGATCATAGCCCTGCATTACCTGTAGTCCAATGTTTGAAAAGCGTTGTTTCATATATTTTATCTCATTTCCTAGTTGCTTATGGTAGAAAGGACAATTTGGAAGTCCACTAATATACATGAAGCTAGGCTTTGATAGAAAAATTGTGAGTTTTTATAATGAGCAAAAGTCAACAATACTTTCACTTGTCTTATAAATTGTTTTCTCAGTACACATTCTGAGAGGTTTTCAGAAGACATAAAAACAACTAACATATATATTTCTCCCAGTTCTGAGAAAACAAAAAAATCCTTTATAAAACTTAATTCGGAGTAAATACGTAAGTCTGAGTTGCTGTACTTACTGTATTTAGAACTGTTAAATTTATTTTGGTGAAACGATTTTTCTTTCAATTTAATATTAAAACTAGCTATCCTTCATTTCTTTCCCAGAAATACTTCAACAATAACACCACACACACACACACACACACACACACACACACACACACACACACACACACATTTTCTCTCTCTCTCCACTTTCAAAATAAAAGGGTGGTATATCTCTTGGTGGTACAGATTACCAGGATATAAAATTCCATAACCATTTTTAATTTCACCAAAAACGAGGTAAAAAATATTACCACTGATAGGGTAGAAAATATATTGTGAAATATAAGAAAAGAAACTTGATAGCAAAAGAGTTTTAATCAGTAGAGATCTTAAAGTCAATACAAAGCAAGAGGAAAGGATATAAAAATTGAGCATGGGCTTGCTAAATTCAAGATTTAAATATATTGCCTTTCTTTCGCTACAATCACAACTCAGTTAGGTAGATACTTTAATTCACATTTTATAGATGAGAAGATTCAGAGTTTAAGTTTCCCAAGGACAGAAAGATAAGTCAGTGGGAAATTCCATGTACATTCCATTACTTAATGCCACATAACTGTTTGGATAACGTGAGAAGAGTGGGTCATTATATGATACCAATTAGAAGATATTATGGATGGTAGAGGCAGTAATTTCTGGGATAAGAACTATAATTTACAGAATAACCAGACATCATTTGATCTGGTGAAACCTGTGCATTCCCACAATTAGACTTCACACTTTCTCTCTTTAAATGTGCAACACCTTCCCCATCCCCTCTTTACTTGTAGCAGTTGATTTTGATTCTTATATCCTGAGAAAGCAACTACCACCAAATCTACCAGTCAACTCATCTATATTTGAACTTAAAGATCTTTCTGTTAGAATGGAATCTATCCATGCTCCAGCTTAGGCGAAGCTCTTCTGAAGATATCCATTCCTTCCTTCCTTATCAAATTTTCCCTCTCGACTAGATTAAAAAATTTCAACGACTAGGCATACTCAGAAACTTTGTCTCATAATGAAAAGATAGTTATTAACTTATTAACTAAGACTCATCAGTTGTTCATAATTTTGTTTTGGTTCATGTCTGTCCAAAGCAACAGAAAGGACCATATTTTTGCTAAGATCTCTTCTAGTGCTATAATCCTAGGTGATTCTAGTAAAAGCTAATATTTATAGAGTGCTTATTCCATGCGAGACACTGTGCTAACACTTTATATGCATTATCCTACTTAATCCTCACAATCCTAAAGAGAGGTACTATTATAATCTTCATTTTATAGATAACAAAACTGGGGCTTAGATAAGTTAAATAACTTGTCTGAGTTTACCAGCTAGTTAATAGCACAGTAGGATTCAAACCTGACTGGCAGAGTTGATGTTATTAAAGCATTGTACCATGTATTTTGTAATCTCTATTGCATGCACATAAATGCAAATGGAAGTTTCCTGCCTTTATGATTTATATATTTGTTAATAATACAAAAGCAAAATTATATTGTTACAAAACCCCAAATAATTTTAATCTCAATTTGCAACATAATCCACATTTTATATATCTGTAAACAATAAAAGTTTTAGTATACAAATGCCTTAGAAAGAATTCAATTTGGTCCAATAATTTTATAGCCAGGATAAAGTCATACTTATAATTTATAATTTTCTGTCCAGGTTTTTAATAAAAATCAGTAATGTTAAATGGAACACTATCATTTTATAGAGAAATTGTATGAAATTACATTGAGAAATAACAATAGTCATTAAACATTAAGATTTCATTACAACCCAGGCATGATATATTTCTTTACACTTAAGGAATACACATGAAACAATCTTAGAGTAAAAAATAGAAGGTAACTTGCTTTTTTGTACCAAGTCAATCAGTAGAAACCTGAATAATCTTGTTTTAAGATGAGAGTCATTTATACTTGGCAGGCATTTTCTTCCAATGAAAAAATAAAATCAATGTGCCATTATCTTGACCCTTATAAAAATGTTTATGAAAAGCATTTAGGCCATTGATTCTCACAGTTGGCTGAATATTGGAATCACCTAGATTAAAAAAAATACTAATCCCTATACAACATCCCCGAAATTCAGATTTAATTAGTATAAGTTAGGCCCTGGGCATACAGACTGTTTTAAAACTCCTCAGGTGAGTCTAATGTGCTGTACCAGTTTGAAAACCACTAGCTTAAAGACCTGTTCCATCATCATAGAAGTCAGTCTTTAGCTGAATGATTCTATACACCCTGATTTCAGTGGGTAGTGTTGTTATTTTAAGCATCTGATAGGTGTATCTCCCATGATTAAAAAATAAATACCTTATGGAAGAGATTATATGTTTTATTTATCATTGTCTCTGCATATCTGGAACAATGAAAGGCACATAGCAGTTGCTAAATAAATATCTTTTGAATGAATATATGATTGCCTTATACATCTTTTATATCCCCATCTTCTAATAGATTACGAAAATGAGAATTCAAAATATATATATATTGAACAAATGAATGACTAAAGCAGTTGGGGATAATATTTAAGGCAAAGTCAAATCTGATAAAATATACACATATTATAAAAACACATACATATATATAAATAGATCAAAAGTAGAAAAAGAATATATAAGAGAGTGCAACATTTGGCAGCTGAGAATTATTTCATTGAGTTTTCAAATATTCTTCACATTCTTATACTTAGAAACAAAGAAGTAACCCCAAACAACTAATTCATTAGCTAATATTTCAGAACTTGCACGTATGCAGATAAATTTTCTTTTAAAAACAGAATTATAGTTTAATCCCTAACACAGCTTAGTTTTCAAAATTCAAGTAAATAAAATTTTAGCACACATCATGATAGCCTTATTGGATAGCTCTGTTAAAAACAAAAAGTATTTGGTATCACCTATTGCTATGTGCTCTCAATTGAGATCTAGTTAGTTTACTAGGAGTCTCACATTGATAAACAACTATTTTGGCACTTCCTTACATAATGTGTTTATTTAGAAATACCTTATTAATGACAGACTTCCTTTTGAGTAGCTACATTCTCAGATATGGCTTCATTTATCAAAGTTCCACAAGTATTACATAATTTTGAATTCAGTTAGTATCTTAGACTACGGAACTTTGGTTTTCTTAAAATCAGCATTGGTTGCTTGATTGTAGGTTTGTCACCAAAAAGTGCTGCTTCACTCTCCGTGGTTGGAAATCTTTTCTGATATATCAAGGGATATTCCTTCTGAAACTTAAAAATGAGGTGAGAAATTAGAAGGTATTTAACATTATTTCCCCAGATGAAGCAGTGCTCAACATTTTATAAGAATTCAGTGTCTTTCTCAAAGAAGTACTATAGAGATTAGTATCCTTTCATTTTATCCTTGCCTTTCCCTCTCTCTTCTCATGTGAATACTATAAGATCTCTTAGATCTCATTAACATTAACATTATAGGATTCTTTCTCTTCTGATGTTAACTATCCCCCTAAATTCCAGATCTTCTTTCCCACTGGTAAAACCTATGAAGGGCATAGGCATCTAGTATTCATACTTCTTTGAGTGTCTCAGACTTAGAATTGGACGTGCCAAAATCATGTGGCTACTGGGCTTTCAGAGCTAAAAATTCTAAAACATAGTGGTAAGTCACTCAAAGATACCTATTCATACCTTATAATTGTTTTCCCAGGCTAATCCAAGCTATAATTATACAAAATACTAGTGAAAAAGGAGAGTATATATTATTATTGTTAGTATTATTTCAAAATTCAGGATAAAGAGCAAAATCAGGTAGGTACTCACATGTTTTAGGTTAATGCACATATACAAGACATCATAATATATAGTCCATATACCTCAAACTTAAAATCTAAAATATTAAAATAAGAAAGTAGATTCTAAATGTTATTAACAACCAGGAATAGCAGATAAAAAATATTTACATAATTGAGAACTTGCTCATTCTCTTACCTGTTTTAGTTTTTTCCTTTTCTCTTTTAGAGGTAAACTCCTGTTTTTAATAATATTTTCTAAAAGTTCTGCAATTGCAGCTTGAGAGGTAGAAACTTTTTGTTCATCAAACTCCTGAGCACTAATCTGCTTACAGTATGAGTAAGTTGGCAAAGGAGCAAATAGTCCATCTCCAGGATTTTCAATCTGTAGTGAACAAAATGATATAACTCTGTTAATTCTGGTCATGTTCTTATATGATAAAGTATTCTTTTGATGGGATCTAGCACCTATTAAGTTACCACCAATCAAACATTCAGCACATTAAAAAAACTATGTATTATGCAGTAGAGGTGTGTAAGTCAGTAGGTTCTAAACCCAGCTCCATAATCTACTTCGTCTGTAGCATTCAACAATGTATTTAACTTTTCTTGGTCTGTTTTTTCATCATTAAAATGGAAGTTACATAAGAAAATGTATATAAAGGGCTCAGCACACAATAAGCGTTAAAGAAAGAAAGACAGGTGTTATAATTATTACCATTAACTATGGATTTTATTCTTTTAACTATAAAATAACAATCTAAGTATTATTCTAATTCATCTTAAGACTTTAATGTTCCGACAGTGCAGATAGTAGATGATCAGCATACTTACTGAAATATTTTTAGTTTTCATGTATTTTTGTTTTGAGGCCTAGGGACATAGGCAGAGCTTCTAACATCTTCTGATAAGAGAAAGAAATTCTAGGAGATAGTTATAATTATAAGCCAGGGCAATATTAGAATGGTATGTATGGGAAAAACATAAACATGTGTTGGGCAGCCAAAGACAATACAGTAGATGTCTGTTATTTTGGCTGCTCAGTATTCCTTCTTTCCTTCTTTTAATAATTCCTTTCCATTTTAACCCCTCTACCTTCACCTTTTGTGAAGAATAAATTCTCCTTTAATCTGTGTAGAACCAATCAGAGTAAGGCCCTATCTCCATCCTACTCACTCTTACCTAAACGATGCATATTTAACCTCAACTAGGCTGAGTTTATATTCAGAGCTTTTAAAATTGGAGATGGAGGAATGACTCTTTTTCCTTTGAACTGCAAATGTAAGACTCTAACTCATGAACTTCAACTAGCCACATTCCTCATCATGTGAAGGAGCCACTGTCAAACACAGGATCAACACAGAAATAAGAGATGGAGGGATGGAAAGAGTCATACAGCTATTTGAGTCCCAGATTCTGTCTACATTCCTGACTTTTAGAGGTTGTTTACGGGAGCTGAAAAAGTCTCCCTTTTTGATTAAGCTACTGTGAGATGAGTTTGCCACTTGCAACTGACTACTGCAGAGAATTTTAAGACTCACAATACTTACATGTCCCTTTTTTAAGTAGTCAAGATGTTTTTCCACTGCAGTCTGTAAGTAAGAGGGTACTTGAAGAATTTCCTGATGATGATCCATTAAGAAAGAAACTAATCTTCCAGCAAGAAGCTCATCAAGATCCACTTCTTCAGCACAGCATAACACACATCGAGAAAAGGTATGTATCATCTAGAAAAATATTAAAAGATGTGAATTTAAAAAGCTAAGGTTGCATACAAACTAGAATATCAGTAATTTCCAGGTAGCATTATGTGAAGTATTGGGATAAAGTGATAAGCAGCCCTCAGTTTAAAAATGAGGACAATGATTTATACAGTTAGAAATGTAAGAATTTGATTATACTTAAATCCTTTTTAAAGTTTTTCCATGGCTGAGCATGGTGGCTCATACCTGTAATCTAAGCACTTTGGGAGGCTGAAGTGAGAGGCTCACTTGAGATAAAGAGTTCGAAGCCAGCCTAGGCAACATAGTGAAACCCTGTATCTACAAAGAAATAAAAAACTAGCCAGGCATGATGGTACGTGCCTGTTTCTTGAGCCCAGGAATTCCAGGCTGCAGTGAGCTGTGATCACACCACTATACTCCAGCCTGGGTAACAGAGCATGATCCTGTGTAACCAGAAAAAAAAAAAAAAAAAGTATATCCTTAATGTAATTCCCAAGAATTATAAAGGCTTTGGTTTTTCTACAATTTTGTCACAATTTTATCAGTAAACACCATAGGTTCTATTAATACCACATATATATGTTGCTTAAGCTTAAAGATGGTCAGAGAACAATAACTAATTACATTAAATGAATCCCACAAAAAAACACAAAACAGGAGAATGTATAACATATAGAACACTTATATTCATAAGTGGTTGCAAAGTTGATGCCACTTAGCTTTTGAAATGCTGGAAAATAGTTTTTAAAAATGCTTATTCTGTCAGTCTTTAGACAGCAATTAAAAACACACATTTTTCAATTCCATCTTATGGGATCTTCAAATCCTGGGATAAAATTAATTACTATCACTTATTACTCTCATTACTCTCACTTATATCTATGCAACCCTCTAACTGTAACACACACACACACCTCATTCTAAAATACTTAGAAATCAGAATTCTGTTTTAAATATTTCATACATAGTAGAGGATTAGCATATTTACAGAATTGATAGATTTTCAGTTTTATTCCTACATCAGTCAGGGTTTCCTGTCTCCTTCCATGGCTTAGACCTCAGCCTTTTGCTCTTTCTCCACATTCTCAGCCTTGTAGAGATCATCTACTCTCATAGCTTCAAGTACTATCCCTATGTAAAAGACCAAAACAATTTGCCTTCTCCCCTGATCTCTCTTCACCTGGCTCATAATTCCAACATTCTGCCGGATAAGTTTCACTTAGAGTTCCTATGACCTCAAATCCTAAAAGTGCAGAACCAAAATTATCGCCTTCCCAGTCAGGTCTCGAAAACGTCTTCCTCTATAAACTTCCTATGCTTTTTAATAGTGCTATAATTTCTCAAGAATAATTCCTCTTCTTTATATTAGGACTGTCATTGTTAAAGAACTATCTTTAATAACAAGTAGAAGAAAGCATAACTCTAGATTCCTTGCTATAAAAGCCTCTTGTCAATTGAAGTTGCATTTTGAGGAAGTGGTGACTTAAAAAAAAAGAGAGAGAGAGATTAAAGATACTATTTCAAGAGTTCATTTCCAATCAATTATCAATTCATATGTCAAGGACATATGAATGCCCTTGTCCTCATTCTCACAAGGAGCCTAAGGCTGTTTGGCAATAGCGCTTCCCAACTTCTTGTCCACAATGACCTACTTTCCTATCACTATATTCTTTGAAACACTGACTTACTGTATTAAGTTCATTAGTTCTCTACTTCCATAGTTACAGTCTCCTTAAGCTTTCAACAGTACCTACATTTCCTCTTCCTTATCCACCAAACAAAACTGGCACAAGGCAACATAACGTGTTCTGACTGGTCAATCACTATGAAGTGATTCAGGATGAATGAGCAGGCAAAGTCCTCAGTCAAGATTAACACCAGCATGTGAAAGTATAATGAGTGTGTACAAAAGATTAATACACTAAAATTCTGCTGTTAGGAAAGGGTAAAGAGCCTTTCCAACCTAAGAATCTAGCACTTTAAGACTAAGACATCATTTGAGTAGTACTTTTACATAGTTTGGTCTTCTTATTTTGGTTTATGAATCAGATTTATTCTTTCCGTAAAAAATCAACTTACCAGTGATCTCGTACCCATTGCATCATGAAGTTTGGGCATATCAACATTTTGACTCATTCGGGAAATCATACGCATTAAAAGTTGCAGCTTTCTACGATTTGGTGGGGGAAGTAACAAACAACATAACTGTAGAGCATCGATGGCAACCCTCTCTAAATGAGGTTGCAGCAAACCTAGAATACAAAAATACCCCCCCCAAAAATCATCAATGACACTAGTTGCTTTCATACTACCAGTATATACACCTATAGAAAGAAGGTAAAATAATATCTTAGTATTTCATTTCTTTTAACTATTTCTAGAAATTACATTCCTCTAAAGCATGGTAAGATTCTCATTTTCTTTACAACTTATTTCTAAGTATAAAAATTCTTCACTTATTACAAATAAAGTGACTCAGAATAAATGAAATTGCAAACAAGAAAATAAGTGCTTTAGGTAAATAGAATAAATCTTGGTTACATCATAGACAAAAGTCTTTTATAATAATTCCTCTTGGAGGAAAAAAAATTAAGCAACTTCAAGGAATAAAAGCCAGGTAAGCAAAACACAGAGTTAGTAAACACTAAAAGTTAATATTGCATGCATTGAGAGCAACAGCCTTACTTTGTGTGCCAGTCAACATAGAAGAAGCTGGAAGTAAAGAATTTTCTGAAAGTTCTATTGTACTTTTGCAGAGTCTTTTATTGATTGTGGCACTAGACTCTCCGAGTTCACCTTCCATAGCTGTTTGCACACTTGTGCTGCCTTGTCCAACATTTGGTTTCATGATAATTTCAGCCACTGGTGTATTGATATAACTATTCCTTCTTGTACTACTTCTTAAAAGCAAACTCTGAGACCTACAAAGCTCTTTTGACTTGCATTTCCCATTACACAACTCCTCTTGGTCTTGAACAGTCAAAGTAGAGGTTCTCTTAAAACCAGCACTGAATGGCTTTTGAGTATTTTCCTCTGAATGAAGATTCAACAGGAATTCCTGTTTAGGCTTAGACTCTAAAAACAGTTTATTATTTTGTCCTTCTATGTTCGGAAAAGATTGATGAAAGACACTGGATGCCTCTTTACTTGAATTCCCTGACACATCTACAATTCCTTCCAAAGAATAGCACCTTGGTTTGTTGTTAGAGGCTAGATCATGCATACTGCTTAACCCTATTAAATTATGACAACTTCCTCCCATTATGTCATTAGCACTCACTCTTCTGTTTCTTAAATTAACTAGCTGCGTTTTCTTAGCACATCTTTCTTGAAATCCTGGATTGCTTATCTGTAGTCTCTCAGTAGAATCTGATTCTTCTTTGTTTTTTTCTCTATGAAGCAGACTGAGAAGAAGGCACTCAGTTGATTTGAAGGAATTCAAATTGTTTAAGTGAAGGAATTTTGAAGACTGTGGATCATCTTGGATTTTATGAATCCCACTGGATCTATCTGAAACTGTGACGTAGCCACAAACAACTACCAGGAAATGAAACAAAAATTAAGATGCAACTGTATGACAGTGGACAAAAATAAAACAAAAACAATAGTAAAGTTAAAAAAATAAAGCATTACTACAGTGTATGTTGTTAGTATAGTATACATAGTAGTTGCTTAATTCAGAAGCCACTTAAATAGGACACATGCAACATTCGGTTACAAACGTGCAAGACAGATGAATGGTTTTCCCACTTGTAATATAACTTTAAAAAATTATTTCAACAGCCTAATTAAATGGATTGAGCTAGAATACGTTTAAAAATATCTGTTCTCAGTCTGCAAGTACTAGAAACCTCATAAATATAAGACAATTGTGGTGTTATAAAATACATATATTTGATCTTTGTCCTTAGTACTTGGTATGGAGCTCCTAAAATCCTTGGAATTTCCTGAATGATAAAGGTCTTTGGTTATTCATAACAAGCCTATTTCAGCATATATGAGTTCATGCTAAGGTAACTGAGGGCTGGCCATGGTTGGAATTTTCATCACCAACTACAACCTTGTAGGAGGAGAAATGGGCTAGAGATTGAGTTCAACTGACAACAGTGACCAACGATTTGGTCAGTCATGCCTTGGTAATTAAACTTCAATTAAAACTCTAAAATATGCAGGCTGAGGGAGTTTCTAGCTTGGTCAAACACATGGATGTGCTGGGATCACGACATGACTAGAAAGGGTAGAGAAACTCTGTGCCACCCCTACCCTCATACCTTGTCCTGTGTAACTCTTCCATTTGGCTATTCTTGAGATCTAGCTTTTATAATAAACTAACAGTTATAGGTAAAGTGCTTTTCTGAGTTCTGTGAATCATTATAGTGAATTATTGAATCTGGTAGGGGGTTGAGGGAAGTCCCGAATTGGTAGTTGGCTGGGTGGAAGTATGAGTAACCTGGGGACCTTATTTCACTGAATTTTAAAATAATTTGTAGGCTGCCACCTTCATATTTACCTATGGTTTTAGATCTTCTAAATTATAAGAAATTTGAAAACTTTAACAAAATGAACTAAAATCAGTAAAATCCATACATACCCAAAATGTTCACAAATAATTCGTAATATTCAAAAGTAAGTAGAGGTTCAGGGAGATCTAGAAAATAATCTGCGATTGTTCTGAATACATCTCGTTCAAATCCAACATAAGTTGGATTATTCATATCATTGCTTCTTGGCCCTAAGAAGTAGAAGGCAAAAGAAAAAGGTAAAGTATATTTTAATTTAAATACAATTTTTAAATACAAAAAGTATAAAATCTGTCTTTCATGAAGGAGTTATGTTTAACAACAAATTCTGCCACCGTTCAAAAATTTAAAGGGCATATCTCATTCTTTCTCATTATTTTTCCACTAGAAGCAGTCAATTGCTAGTTTTTTGTTTTATTTTAACATTTGTATACCTGAAAAATCATACATAAAGTAAAATTTTAATATCATTTTAAAAACATTAGGGAAGCTTAGTTTACTAAGATTTTACTGTAATTCATTTTGTAAAGGAAAGAATATTTGGATAATACAAATAATTCCTTCAAATTGTCTTTGTGTAAATTTACATTTTCATGAATACATTTTGTCTGACATGAAACATAGCCTTAATGAATTTAAATAATATCTTTACATTGTTGTTTCTTAAGCTTGACACAACTATTGAAATAATCATACTTACTCATTTGTTTTTTCCTCAAAAATAAGATCTGATCTCATTTTATAGATAAGAAAACTGAGGCTAAGAGTACCTTGCCCAAGATGAAAAAGACTTTGGTAGCAAAGTTTGAATTAGAAGTTAGAGCAGTGTAAAATAAGAGCAAGGACCAGGACTTTTAGCTCCAGCAACACTTAAAGTGTGGTTCATGGATTATATCACAGAATCATCCAATGTGCCTATTAAAAATACAAACTCCTCTATGGAGACCAGAATCCATGAAAGTGGGGCCAGAAATTTACTGACCTAGAAATGTTTGCTTCTAGTTCACTAACTGAGTGGTTTCCAAACACTAACCTGAGAACCTTCACTATAATAATCTTCTGGGGGCATTTTTTTTTTTTTAAAGATTCCTGACCTACTAAATCAACCACTTCAGAATCTCTGGAGAGTCTCTTTAGTGACTGTGGTGTGCATCCAGGTTTTACAGTCATTATACTATCTTTCAAGTTAAAATGTTTCTCTTCCCAAGTCCAAATACTATTTCTTACTGCCCTGTTTCCAAACTTTTGTATGGACATACAAATGTGAGAACACACTAAAAAGAATTAAAGAAAACAATTCCCACTCTTAACAATAGACAAAATAGATATTTTTTTAAGGACATAAGAAATAGTATGTGGAATAAAAGATTTGATAATCATTAGAAAGTTCTCTAAGAAAATACATGTTTACAGGAATTAAAAATACTAAAAATATAGAATTTATAGAGAATATAGGTTTGAGCTGTAGCTCCTTTGCACTAAAAGAAGATACTCTAAGCTTTGGTTTTCTCTGTTGGAAAAATTGGGATGGTATACTGATTACTAATTCTTACATCTCACAGAATTACTCTAGGGGATCCAATAACAAGTAAAGTTAAGTCTTAACTGTGCCTCTGGCTAAATACATTGTTGCTAATTTGGAATCCAGTAAGTTATATAGTTGGTATCATTTAGGTATTACATAGACTGGAAAGAGAAGGAAGACAGGCTCCCTAAAGACCAGATGTCAGAGAAATCCCTGTCAGTATGCCTATCTGAATTCCTAACCGTGAGCAGAGGAATGAAAGAGAAGAATACTTAACTACACTTGGAAAGTAGAAAGACAAATTCAAGTCTTAAGTTCATAATAAAGATTTTTATCTTAATTTGACAAATAAAATGTTTCTGTAAATGTATTTACTTTATTGCTATTTATTCAATGTCATTTTATCATATTGACACCCAGTGGACAACAAAGGAATATAAAGTTACCCTGAACATTAATAAATCCCTATTAGCATTTTAGAAAACGCTAATTTTATATGAACTAGAAAATTATATTTGTAACTAAAACATAATTTAGCTTTTGATGATTTAGCTTATACCTTTGTACATTTAAAAAATTAACTTTGAAAGCAATTAGGATTTTGTACTCATACTAGGGTTTTATGTTACAAAAATCAATTATCACTGATCATGATGAAAAAGCTCGATCAATTAAATGCTAAAAAAATTTCTGGATTAGTGACTGATAAGGTTTGGATCTGTCCTCACCCAAATCTTATGCCAAATTGGTAATCCCCAGTATTGCAGGTGGGGCCTGGTGGGAGGTGATTGAATCATGGGGGTATATTTCCCCTTTGGTGCTGTTCTTGTGATACTGAGTGAGTTATCACAAGATCTGGTTGCTTAAAAGTGTGTACCACCTCCGCACACAACCTTCCTCCTGTTCCAGCCATGTAAGACGTGCCTGCTTCTCCTCCGCCTTCTGCCATGACTGTAAGTTGTAAGTTTCCTAAGGCCTCCTCAGCCATATTTCCTATACAGCCTGTGGAACCATGAGCCAATTAAACCTCTATTCTTTATAAATTACCCTGTCTCAAGCATTTCTTTATAGTAGCACGAGAACAAACTAATAGAATAACAGATAACCTTTTTTTCATAACATAAAGTCACATTAATATATCTAGTATTCTATGCTTCTACACTATAGAAATCCCATGGAGTTCAAGCCATTTGAACTCTGTGCCTTATTCATGCAATTAGTGTGGATTTCACTTAAAAAATCCTTTGAGATCCTCTAGGCTATGACTTTATAATTTATGTGAACTAAACCATAAATAATATGCTTGAATTAAAAAATCACCTTCTTTCTAAACAGAAAAAGTTAAGGGCTCCATAATGTAATAAATTCCACTAGACTTTGATTTATATATCAAGATAAATGATATACTTTAATTTTATCAGGACTTTAATAAATTATTTTAAAAATTTCCTTGGTTCTTGTTAAATACTATCAATATAAAACACACACACACACACACACACACACACATTTAACTTACAATTTGCTAGGCACTTCATGGCAGATAATACCCAGTGAGGGAGGTCATCTACACAAAAAGAAAAATATTACTAAGTAAACCATACAATTTTTATGACTGTATATTTCAAAATATCACACTTATGTGCAATTAAATGTATCTATACACATACACATACATGTTACATTTGTATATGTGTGTATTACCAGGATTAAAAAGTATTATATGTTTAATAAGACACAAGATCAAGTCAATATTTTAAAATAGAAAAAGTCTGAAAAAATTATAGAGATTCTGAGTTTGGTCCATATTACATATAACAATTAAATACTGCCAAATTGAGGATTAATTATTTTGAGGGAGTGTTTAGATATAAATTCCACATTCATTTTTATCTACTATCACTACCTTTTCTTCATCCTTGTTTCTATTCTGCCTATTGCTATGCTATTTGAATATTAATGATTTGGGTGAGACCTATGATTGAAATGAACTGTATGTCGTTATTATGCTCCTTTTATAGTGAAGTTTGCTTAAAATCTTTCAAGTGCTACTGAATAAAATATGTTCCATAGAAATCTAGCACTTTTTTTACACAGGGTTACAAAGAATAGAAATCTTAAATGAGGGCATATACTGTTAACCATGTTATTTTAGATAATGGAAGAAGGGACTGGTCTACAGCCACATGCATAAGCCACATAGCAAACTCATCAGTTTTAACATTTACCTTTTGCTCCTACAATTAAAAACTCAAAGTTCTTGCCCATAAAAAGAAAATCAAAGTAATATATGTCAGTTAATTCCACAGCCAGAAACTTAGCACAAAAACATTAGCTACAATTTTGAGAGATTTATTGATACCTTTCTCATAATCTAAGTTTTCTAATACATCTATCTAGCTTGAATTATTTCCCTGATTTTTGTATCTAAATCTGAAATCAATCAACTATATAAATAAATAAAACAAAAAAGCCAGTCCCTCTAGAATCCTCATCTTTAAAGTCTGAGCTTATTTTGTTGTGTTATTACAGTTTTGTATATATGTTTGACTCCTGTTAATTTGTACATAACTACTCATGTAAGCCTCATGAGCGTATGGACCATTTCTATCTTATCATTAAACTTTAGCACAATGTCTGACATGTTGGAAGCCCTCAACAAAAATGTGCTTAATCAAAACTTTTCTTATACTTGTATACCTTTTGGATGTTTAACTTTGTCATTTTTTTAATACCATGCATAAATCTATCTTAGCAGATAAAATATTTCTTATAATAGCATGAATAATATTCACTTATAAATTACTCCACTGTTATTACTAAAGCACTTATGATAGCCCCTCTGATGCTCCATGAAAGTATTCTACTTTCAACATTTGGGTCTCTCTTTACACTACTTGCAACCTTGTTGGCAAGTTTTTAAAAGTTCCAATTATTTTATTAATACCAACCTGATTTGTTTTGTAGTATAACTACTCCATGTTTACTTGTATTAGCCATGTTGTACATTATATATTGGGGAATTACTTGTTTTGGATTTATGACTTCTTCTAGGGATGGCACACCTAAAATGGTTTGCAGGCTAAATAGAAGAAAGAATATTAACTTTTTGTCTTTGTAAATAGGATAGATTATACATATGAATGAATATGACTAGTAAACAAAGCCATCAGAATATTTTATTTTTCTTAACTTCTAAAGACTTATATTTAGTATCCCCTTTCAAATGTATTTATCTCAGTAATCTTAAAAGGATTACAATATATATCCCAAACTATGGCCACAATGTTGATTCAAAGAAAAGGTGAATCATACCAAAGCATTCAATTTCTACTCTATTAAGCTATAACAAGAGTATTTATTTAAAAACACATATACAGGTTGCATTCTAACCTTTGATAATTAATCTGTTCTGATTCATTTGCATATTTTGATGTAAATGTCAAAATAATAATCAGAACACTTCAGGAACTTCATTAAAGCTTAATTTTATCTTACTAGATCAGAATAACGTATTTCCAAACTTCTTCAACATCTTCCTGGCTTAGTTCTCTATTATCAGCTGCATTTTCTTGATCTTCATTGATTATTTCATGCTTTATTTTCTCGGCCTTTTCCTGAAAAAAGGATTATTTTGGTTTAATCTGGTATGCTCAAATTTTTAAATACTGAAAGCAACAATAATTCTATTACTATCAGTCCATTGTGGAGCTATAAAGTGTCTCCCAAAGAAATAATGTAACACGGTAATGGGGTTTTTAATTTTGCAGTTGTCCCTAGCACCCTCAAATCAATTTAAACCAAAACACACTTAAATTATATAACTATTGTTTTCAATTATGTCTCACTACCATTTTTGTTATTCTTTCTATGGGTCACAAACAATTTTATACATACATTTTCAGAATGTAATGTAGGTTAGGAGGTTTCAGTTCTGGATTTAAATATTAAAGAATCATTTACTTTTAATGATTCTATTATTGAGTACACCATAATCATATTTAAACTAGTAATTAGTAAAAGGATGTGTTACCTGAGATAAATGTAATCCATGCTTTTTAGGAGTTCTACGAGATAAGTTTCGTAATTTAAAAATACTATCTTTATCTTTGGAAAAGCTCTCTATGTTGTTTCTTCGCAACTCTGGATGCCTTCGTGGTGGAGTTTTAAGTGGTGAAGTTGCAGGAAATCTGGTTTAAAAATAATAAGCAATTAAATAAGGTGAGATTAGAAACAAACTTTTAGAGTCTATTTATTTTAAAATTCACATAAAGAGCCTGATTTATTAATACTACCAAGTAATAAAGATTCTAGACAAATAAATTTTCCCATTAAATCTTTAAAAAAATAGGTTTCTTCTTTCTGTAGTATATTGTACATATTTTAACTTTATTTCTGGATAATTCAGGGTTATTACTAGGGTCAATTCTGGTAGAGGGGTATTGCTTACACAAAAAATGGCTCTAGAGTGCTACATTTTCTAAATTGCTTTGATGAGTTATCCAGTTTGTATATTCCCCCTTTTGTTTGTGCTTGTCCTACATTGTGGAACCTAGTTTCTGTTGCTTCTTTTGATTGTAATATTTTGGCCTCCTTTTATTTTAATATAAAATATTTCAAAGATATAATAAAACAATACCCATGTATGTAACTGGCAACCAATGTAATTGTTGACATTTTGTGACTTCTCCTTTATTATTTTTTTTAACTTTTATTTTAAGTTCAGGGGTACATGTGCAGGTTTCTTACATAGGTAAACTTGTGTTGTGGAGGTTTGTTGTACAGATTATTTCATCACCCATGTATTAAGTCGAGTACCCATTAGTCATTTTTCCTGATCCTATCCCTCCTCATACCTTCCCTCATCCAATAGGCCCCAGTGTCTATTGTTCCCCTCTATGTGTCCATGTGTTCTCATCAGTTAGCTCCTACTTGTAAGTGAGAGCATGTGGTATTTAGTTTTCTGTTCCTTAGTTAGTTTGCCTCCACCTCCATCTATGTTCCTGCAAAGTACATTATCTCATTCTTTTCTATGGCTGCATAGTATTCCATGGTGTATATGTACACATTTTCTTTATCCAGTATACCACTGATGGACATTCAGGTTGACTCTTTGTCTTTGCTATTGTGAATAGTTCTGCACTGAACATACGTGTACATGTGTCTTCATGACAGAATGATTTATATTCCTTTGGGTATATACCTAGTAATGGGATTGCTAGGTTAAATGGTAGTTCTGGTTTTAGGATTTTAATGAATCACTATACTGTTGTCCACAATTCATACGGAACCAAAAAAAGAGCCCAAATAGCCAAGGCTATCCTAAGGAAAAAGAGCAAAGCTGGAAGCATCATGCTCCCAGACTTCAAACCATACTATAAGGCTGCAGTAAGCAAAACAAAATAGTACTGGTATAAAAACCAACACATAGACTAATGAAACACAATAGAGAGCCCGGAAATAAGACCATGCACCTACAACCATCCGATCTTCAGCAAAGCTGACAAAAACAAGCAATGGGGGAAACAATTTCCTATTTAACAAATGGTGCTGGGATAACAGGTTAGTCACGTGCAGAAGATTGAAATGGGACCCCTTCATTACACCACATACAAAAATTAACTCAAGATGGATTAAAGACTTAAGTGTAAAACCCAAAACTATAAAAAACCTGGAAGAAAACCTAGGCAATCTCATTCTAGACACTGGAATGGGCAAAGATTTCATGATGAAGATGCCGAAAGCAACTGCAACAAAAGCAAAAACTGACAGATGGGATGTAATTAAATGAAAGAGCTACACAGAAAAAGAAACTATCAATGGAGTCAACAAACAACCTATGGAATGGGAGAAAATTTTTGCAAACTATGAATCTGACAAAGCTCTAGTATCCAGCATTTACAAGGAACTTAAAAAAATTTACAAACAACTTCATTGAAAAGGGGGCAAAGGACAAGAACTGACACTTTTCAAAAGAAGACATATATGTGGCCAACAAGCATATGAAAAAAGTTCAATATTACTGATTATTGGAGAAATGCAAATCAAAACCATAATGAGATACCATCTCACACCAGTCAGAATGGTTACTATCAAAAAATAAAAAAATAACAGGTGCTGGCAAGGTTGCAGACAAAATGGAATGTTTATACAGTGTTGGTGGGAGTGTAAATAACTCCTTTTTCTAAAAAACTGAAATTCTTTGCTCACTCATATCCCCCCTCTTCCTAATATAAACTTATAGTTTCATAAAATAAGCCTATAGTTGTATTTCTTTTCCATGCTTTTATATTTTTAATAAATGTATATAAACAATATGTGGTTTGGTGTTTTTTCACTTTATTGTATCTTTTACATCTTTTTTTTTTCCTTCTCTGTCACCCAGGATGGAGTGCAGTAGTATGATCATGGCTGACTACAGTCTCAATCTCCTAGGCTCAGCCTCCCAAGCAGATGAGTCAACAGGCACCAGGCATGTGCCACCATGCCTAATTTTTTTTTTTTGTAGAGACAGGGTCTCCCTATGTTGTCCAGACTGGTCTCGAATCCCTGGATTCAAGTGACACTCCTGCCTCAGCCTCCAAAAGTGCTGGGATTACAGGTGTGAGCCACCCTGCCTGGCCTCATACATCAAATTTATTCAAAAAGTTTGTAGTGATCTCAAAAGTTTGAAGACCTCAGAAGTGTGACCTTGGTCTTCAAAATTCTCTTAGACTTTTACCAAATCACTTTTAGAATCTGCTTATTAAGTTCCACAAAGAAACTATATTGAAGTTTTGAATGAAAATGCACTGAATTTCTGTTTCATTTTGGGAAGAATTGACTTGTATATACATGATACTAAGTATTTTCATTCATGAACAGGGTATCTTTCTCCATTTATTCTATTTAATACAATTTAATACTTTTCTCCAATAAGGTCTTACACATTTTTGGTAAACTTTATTTTTACATACTTTATAGTTTTGTTACCATCATAAAAGACTAGGAGAGGCCAGGCGTGGTGGCTCATGCCTGTAATCCCAGCACTTTGGAAGGCCAAGGTGGGTGGATTGCTTGAGGTCAGGAGTTTGAGACCAGTCTGGGAAACACAGTGAAACCCCATGTTCACAAAAAATGCAAAACTTAGCTGGGCATAGTGGTGTGCACCTGTAGTCCCCGCTACTTGGGAGGCTGAAGTGGGAGGATCGTTTGAGCCCGGGAGGCAGAAAAGACTAGGGGCAGAGAGACTAGTTGAGGATTTATGCAGAAATCCAAGTAAAACAAAAACAAAACAAATAAAGAGAAATCCAGGTAAGAATCATAGCCTAACAAAAAGAAGATTCATCTTGGAGAGAGATGTGCAAAGATCAGAGAACTACTTAGGCAGCACAATAGACTAAATCATATTTAAAGGAGAAGAAAGGGAAAGAATCAAGGCAACTAGAGGGAAGGCAATGCCATTTATTCAGATAGGAAACCTAAGAAGACAAAATTTAGGTTAGGGGGGTGATAGTCATTTTTCTATATGGTATATTTGAAGTGCCTTTCCAGGAGGCAGTTGAAAAAAATGAGCCGAAGGCTCAGGAGAGATATTTCAGGAGAGGCCTGAAAGTCTTAAGAAAAGTAGGTGAAGACATGGCATGAGATTGCCTAGGGAGAAGATGAAGTAAAGACAAGGGCAGGAACTTGAAGATGGGCGAGTTAAAGGATGAGCAGCAGTAAAGGAGCCCACAAAGATAACTGAGCAGTAGTTAAGACAGGAAAGATTTGTAGAGTGCTATACAAAATGGATTATTCATGATTGTTATTGTAGTTTACTTGTACGACATAAACCATTTTTGGTACATAGGAAACAATAAATTCTTAGACATTTCATTTGAAAAGTACCTAATGTTGTAGGAAAAAAAAAAAGCATGGACATTAGATTCCACAGGCCTACTTTAATGGCTATATAACAAAGAACCGTAAGTCATAAGAGAAAAAGCAATTATGCTGACCTGTGGGAGTCAGAAAAGCTCCACAGAAGAGGTTATGAAAGAGCTGAGATTAAAATAAATGTATAAGTTTACTAGCCTGACAAATGTGTACAGTGGAAAAACATTTCAGGCAGACAGAACAAGATTTGTTGAAGCATGGTCTCAGTTTCCCCATCTGTTAAAAGGGGTTAATACCTACCCTGCTTGGCTACTACAGCAATTAAGTAGGAACACATATGTAAATCATCAAACGGAGTTTCTGTTATATCTTAACTGCTTAATAAATATTCTCTTTAACCTGTGGTATACTTCTTCTGTTATCATTGTTATTTTTTGAGAGAGTCTTGCTCTGTTGCCCAAGCTGCAGTGCAGTGGTGCAATCTCAACTCACTGCAACCTCTTACCTCCCAGACTCAAGCACTTCTCGTGCCTCAGTCGCAGGTGTGCACCACCACACCCAACTCATTTTTTGTATTTTTAGTAGAGACGAGGTTTCACCATGTTAGCCAGGCTGGTCTCAACTCCTAGCCTCAAGTTGATCCGCACACCTCAGCCTCCCAAAGTGCTGGGATTACAGGCATAAGCCACCTCACCTGGCCCTGCTATTTGTTATGTAAGATTTGCTATTACTCTATTACATGTATTCTTAAATTAAATGTTTGAAGGGAAGGATCTGTGAACTTATAAATCTAGAAACTATGCAATTAAGGTCAGTAATATGTCCTTAAAATGTTATAAAGTGTTCAGAATATGCAGAAGTGATAATATCTCACTATTTCCCTTCCAATTCCCTACTTTATTATATATGCTAACACTTAAAAACTTTAAATTTTGTAGCAATTAACTTTCACATTACAATTTTTCTAAATGATTTTAATTGAACTGAGAGCATTAATAGTTTTCCAAAGAAATATTACTTCTTTGAAGAAGCTGCTGTTATAGTAAAAATATAAGTAGAGATAAAACTACAGTAATTCAGTTTTACAGTTACATATCTGTTCATTACCTGAAGAGCTGGTTGTTATCATCAACATTTTCTGTTCCCCACCTCCCTTTGATATCTTCAATTACATGATTCTTAAGAAATTTCCTCAACAGTTGGATAGTCTGTTGCCTTGTAACTTCAGGACCAAAATTGCTATTATTTGTTAATAGATCATAAAGCCAATCCACTGCTTCTCCTGCTGTGAAACAATTACCATATTTTTTAAAGTGCTGTCTGTGTTTTCTTAGAGGCATTCCTGCTCGAAAAGATGTGGTAACTTCATTCCACTGTAAAAAGAAGGAAAATATTTTTAAAAATTTGAAGAAAAATTAAATCTCATATTGATTTGAAGTACATTAGGTAAAGATAATTCTTTAATTCACATCTGATTACATCATAAAAATTCTTGAAGAATCATTCATCTTATTTGTGCCACATAAAATTTTATATCTGGCCGGGCGCGGTGGCTCACCAGAAATTGGGAGTTCGAGACCAGCCTGACCAACATGGTGAAAACCCATCTCTACTAAAAATACAAAATTAGCTGGGAATGGTGGCGCATGCCTAAAGTTCCAGCTACTCGGGAGGCTGAGGCAGGAGAATCGCTTGAACCTGGGAGGTGGAGGTTGCAGTGAGCTGAGATCGCATCATTCCACTCCAGCCTAGGCAACAAGAGCAAAACTGTCTCAAAAAAAAAAAAAAAAAAAAAAAAAGAAAGTACATCTTACACTGCTTTCTTTTTATTAATTCTAGTGCTGTAGTAATATTTTTATGTAATAGTTTTTTTATTAGAAGCACTTCATTGGCTTATCAGTTTGTTTAAGAAACCTAGAAATAAGGAAGAACTACAATCAATATAGAAAACATTCATCCTTGTTTTTTACCTCAATTAATATTAATGTTGGTAGCACTGTGCTTCACATTCATTATTTCACTTTAATTATCACAATTCTATGAAAAGGTACTATTAATTTCTCAATTTTCACATAAGGAAAATAAAGCAGAGAGATTAATAAAATGACCAAGGTCACACAGCTAGGTGATGAAAGTAGGCATTCAAATCCAGGTGTGACTGACTCTAGAACCTGTACTCTCAACTACTGTGCTGGCCAAACAAAACTTATAGCAGGCAATAGTTTTACTGGTGAAGTATCTTTAACATGAAAAATGGCTTATGTATTTACTATAGCATCTCTTTTGTGAAGATTCCTGTAATGAACATAGAACAGATGGGATACATTAAGTAAGTTGAAAGTCCATTGCATATTTAATGACCCTGTGACATGTACATTTTGCAAAGATATATTTTTTAAACTGTCCTCAAATCAGCCAGACCTCTACATTTATGACCGCTCTAACGGTGGAGCATGGAGGTGATGTTGGTATAGAATAAACACATCACTTTTTAATAGAAAAATCCTACGTTAGCAGTCAAATCTAATTTGCAACCCATTATGCCACTACTAGCTATGTTACTGCTTTTCTAACCTATGTGGCCCCGATACCACAAGACAGAATTTAAGGGCTGAAAACTTGATGATTATATTGTTTTCTTTCCACACTTTCCCACTTTATATATTTATTTATCCAAGAAACTGATATTGAGCTGCTCACTCTGTACTGGCCTGAGGATACAGTAATAAAAATGACAGAAAGGGTCTCTGTAGTAAGGGAGATTACAGAATGGCTTTCCTGAGATGTAGTACAGGGTAGTGGTTTTAAGAACAGGCTCTGGAGTTAAGACTACTAGGGTTAGTTTCCCAGTTCTAGCTCTGCCACTGTTGTTTATGACATTTTGGGCCTATCTTCAGTCTCTATGCCTCAATCTCCTTAACCACAAAACAGGGACAAAAGGACCTAACGAATGGGCTTATTGGAATGATAACATGATGTAATATATGTGAAGTACTAGTAAGCATTCAGTGCATGTTTTCTTTTTCAGCGTGTTTATACTACTTTCATCTAATGGGTTTTTAAATTATGTGGCAGGACTACCTGATTGAGGTTCCTTCCTATCCTAAATTCTACCCTTTCATATTGATAAATATGGCAAATAACTTCCTAAGTAGCAGAATCCATGTGAGATTGCCATACCAGGAAGATCTGAATTCTACCTCTGCCATTTTCTGTTGATGTGACTTTAGAAGGCATGTAACGTCTGTGAGCCTCAGTGTGCACACTGGTAAAGTAGGGCTAATAATACATGCTCGCCTGAAGGGCATTCCTAAGAGGAAAGTGCTTGTTATTCTGCAGATCACAACACACTTTCAAAAACAGCATCCTCCTGGGAAACCCCTTAAGGCGAGCATGTATTAGTAACCTTTACCAGTGTGGAAACAGGCTCGCAGAAGGTAGGGGACTCCCCTAACGTCACATAACCAGTACCACAGTATCCCATAGAACCGAAGACCCAACGGCACGAAACGCGTTAGGAGTGCTATACATGCAAATTCAGGAGCCGCCAGCAGTGGTTACTGACGAGTACTCAGAAATACCGTTTTGAAACAGGCAGCTGTTCTCCTAGTGCTATTCGGCCGGTACATCCTGCTTTAAATTCTATGGGTTCAATAAACAAAATTGTCACATTCGGGCTTGCCCACAACCTAACCCTACAAAGCTTTGGCGCTCATTCCCAATTGCTCCGTAATTGTGAGGCGGGTAGAAAATCAGACGGGGTGAATGGCTAAATCGGAATATTTTAAGACGCCCCCAGGGCACAGGACTTGCTCCTCAAAGCTAGTCTGGTGCGGTCTACGCGCGGCGCTTCCTTTCGGACCTGAGACCCAGATCCTCAAAACAGAGGGAGCGGTGAGTCTGGCAAAGGTCGCATACCCGTTACTTCTCCTCGCCAGCGTTTTCACTGAACCTAGGGCTCCTGGGACTCATCCCTCCGACCAAGGTAAACCTGCGAACAGTGGGGACTGCCGTCAGCCCGCTGACCGGTCCCGTCTATCCGAGCTGTCTTACCAGCTTGGTGGCCCGATAAGGCCCGGGAGGCACACCCCGACTCTCCATAGGTCTGTCAGCGCCTGGTGGCGTCCATGGCGGCGAAGGCGACACTCAGGCCCAGCGGCCCGGGTAGTGGCGAGTCTCGGCACAACCGTTGGCCCCGCCGCCGATTTGAATAGCATAGAGGGCTGCGCGGATTGGCCGCGCCGCGGGTCACGTGATGCCGCAGCCAGCCTCGGGACTGAGTCGGCTGGGGCCGAGGAGGCTCGGCAGCATTCCGGACCTTCGGTAGCTGGTGCGGGCTGGCGCGGGCTGGGGTGGGCTGGGCTGGCCTGGGACCGCCTCAGTGAGACAGGCTCGGGTTTCCCTGGCGTTGCTTCTTCCTCCTCCGGTCTACGGCGAGGCGGAGTCATGTTTTCGTACTCATGAGCTGTTTAGTTCCAAACGAAATTATTTGGAGTCCAGCCTTTGGTTTAAGGAAATTTGAAAAGACAAGAAAATACGGGTTTTCTGCCTGGCGCCACAGGATATTCAGCAGTTAGCTTAGAAAGCAAAGCAGCCTGATGGATATATGTCGCAGTTTTTCTCTCTATCCTCTCTCTCAGCAGGGGCCATGATTCTCTGAAGTGCTAAAATGCAGGTTCACAACCCCCTAATTGTGCAGTAAAATGGATCATTCAGAAACCCCCCGACTGGGTAATAAAGTGAATCATAGGTAGAATTTCTTAAGTACATACAATGTAGGGCTTGGGAAAGGTTGTGTACAACTTGCCAAATTGCTTCCCTTAAAATCTACCACTGTATAAGAATCCTGGTTATGTTTGGATCATGATTATACACTTAAAATTTCACTGGGATCTTAGAAAATAAATCTTCAATAGAAGTCAGTTTTCAAATGACAAAAACTACATTCCGAAAGTTGAATAGACTTACTCAGTCTTAGGTCTCCTTGGCAGAGCACAGACTTCATGATTTTAATAAATACCCTGTCACCAGTCTGAAACTATTTGATGCTAAGAATCCCTTAGTACAGTGGGAGATTGCTTGAGTGATTTGAAGCTGTGGAAGAATTCACTTGGAAATTAAATAGCAGTTTAAGAGGATAGGATGCAGTAAAAAAAAGAGATGAAGGAAAATGTTCAGGGAGTGGTAGTACAGGTCTGTGGAGTTCTCCTTAATTTGGGTTATTTAGGCAGAAACACATCTATTTTCTACCAGAACCAGTAGGCAGGAATTTTCAAAACACACTTGGTAACCAGGGACAATCTACTCAATTTTCCACTTATGTTAAGGAAAAGTAAAATAATTGATGTTACAAAATAATGTTAACCGTTTCTTACCTGGCTTTATGATACATTGTCCCAGGATTTTCCTTTTTCTTTTCTTTTTCCTTTCAGAAGGAAACGGAGATGAGACTGTGGAAGTCAAAATTTATTTTTGCCCAGTTCCCCAAGTTGAAAATCATCTCACATACAGCCTTTGATATAAGTAGCCACAGCTTAATAGTACCTTAATAATCCACTGTGGCTATGGATTCACTCTGCACCATCCACTTTCACATTTATAGTGTCTTTAGATGATAAAATATTCAAAAGTCAGGTTTTTGTTAAATGTGGGTGGTCTGAGTTTCTTTAAGGTAACGTTGCATACCTCTGCTCTTAACAATTATTCATTGATTGCATAGTTTAAATCCTGGAAGTAATTTTATTTCTTCTCATTACCAATTCTGTGAGAGTCACTTTATCACCCTTTTCCTAATTCTACATCAGAATTTCTCAGAGTGGGTTACAAACTACATGTTTTAGGATTTCCTGCAATACCTGTTAAAATGCTGATTCCTGGGATTCCCCAAATCCTAATCAGGGGTGTGTGTGTGTGTGTGTGTGTGTATGTGTGTCATGGGAGGGAAAGTACAGGGTAAATGTGTAGGGTTGGAGGAGCCTGGATCTCTGAAGGCTATGAAGCTGAGATGCTGTAATGCCCATGAACTGCCTAGCTGTGGACTTATATATGAAAGAAATATGAGCCTCTGTTAATTTACTCTTCTAGCTGAACCTAACCTAACCTACTCATTGTGATACAATGAGTATCACGAAAGAAAATGAGCTCTCTTCTTTTGTCTGCCACCATGTGAGATAAGCCTTTCACCTTCTGCCATGATTGTGAGGCATCTCCAGCCACACAGAACTTAATTCAGGTAGCTGGAGAGAGAATGGTGGATGGGAGGCAGGACTAGACGGCAGCTCCCACTTGGATGGAAAGAGCAGAGTGTGGAGGCTTGCGTTATGAACTTTTGCTCCAGAATGACTGTAGGAATAAATCAGGAAAGCTGAGAGAATTGATAGACCGTCTGAAGGAAGCAGATTGCTCCTGCAGGACCCGGGAGACACCCCAAATACTGTGCTGGCTGGTATCCGTGACTGAGAGACCCAAAGACAGTTCACATCACACGATTCTGTTCAGACAACCCCCAGTACCAGCCCAGAGCCTGGTAGACTTGCTGGGTGGTTAGATCCAGAAGAGATAACAATCATTACATCTCGGCTCCCAGGAAGCCACATCCCTAGGAAAAGGTGGAAAGCACGACATCAAGGGAACACTCCGTGGGACAAAAGAATCTGAACCATGGCCTTGAGCCCTAGGCCTTCCCTATGACAGAGCCTACCCAAATGAGAATCAGAAAACCAACTCTGGTAATATGACAAAACAAGGTTCTTTAACACCCCTCAAAAATCACCCTAGCTCACCAGCAATGGATCCAAAACAAGAAGAAATCCCTGAATTACCTGAAAAAGAATTCAGAAGGTTCATTATTAAGCTAATCAGGGAGGTCCAGAGAAAGGCGAAGCACAATTTAAGGAAATCCAAAAAATGATACAAGAAATGAGGGGAAAAATTTTCAATGAAATAGATAGTATAATTAAAAATAAAAACTTCAGGAAACAATGGACACACTTATAGAAATGTAAAATGCTCTGGAAAGTCTCAGCAATATAATTGAACAAGCAGATGAAAGAACTTCAGAGCTCAAAGACAAGGTTTTTGAATTAACCCAATCCAACTAAGACAAAAAAAAAAAAAAAAAAAAAAAAAAAAGAAAAAGTATGAACAAAGTCTCCAAGAAGTCTGGGATTATGTTAAATAGCCAAATCTAAGAATAATTGGCTTAGAAGGAAGCCAATTAAGGAAGAAGACAAATCTAAAAGTTTGGAAAACATATTTGGGAGAATAATCGAGGGAAACTTCCCTGATATTCTAGATATCCAAATACAAGAAACTCAAAGAACACCTGGGAAATTCATCACAAAAAGATCATCACCTAGTCTCATTATCATCAGATTATCTAAAGTTAAGATGAAAGAAAGAATCTTAAGAGTTGTGAGACAAAAGACCAGGTACCCTATAAAGAAAAACCTATCAGATTAACAGCAGATTTATCAGCAGAAACCCTATAAGCTAGAAGGGATTGGGGCCCTATCTTTGGCTTCCTCAAACAAAACAATTATCAGCCAAGAATTTTGTATCCAGTGAAACTAAGTTTCATAAATGAAGGAAAGATACAGTCTTTTTCAGACAATCAAATGCTGAGAGAATTTGTCACTACCAAGCCAGCACTTATAGTGCTGTTAAAAAAAACCTCTAAACCTTGAAACAAATCCTGGAAACACATCAAAACAGAACCTGTTTAAAACATAAATCTCACAGGACCTATAAAACAAAAATGCAATTGAGAAAAAAAAAAAAAAAGGTAAGGTATATATACAGGCAACGAATAGCATGATGAAGGGAATGGAAACTCACATCTCAATACTAACATAGAATATAAACGGCCTAAATGCTCCATTTAAAATATACAGAATTGCAGAATGGATAAAAATTCACCAACCAAGTATCTGTTGCTTCAAGAGACTCACACATAAGGACTTACATAAACTTAAGGTAAAGGGGTGGAAAAAGACATTCCTTGCAAATAGACACCAAAAGTGAACAGGAGTAGCTATTCTCACAACAGACAAAACAAACCTTAAAGCAACAGCAGTTAAAAAAGACAAAGAGGGACATTATATAATGATAAAAAGGCCTTGTCCAACATTAAAATATCACATTTCTAAATATATATGCACCTAACACTGGAGCTCCCACATTTATAAAACACTTACTGCTAGACCTAAGAAATGAGATATACAGCAACACAATAATAGTGGGGGACTTCAGTACTCCACTGACAGCACTAGACAGGTCATCAAGACAGAAAGTCAACAAAGAAACAATGGATTTGAAGTATACCCTGGAACAAATGGACTTAACAAAAGGCATTCTACCCAACAAGCACAGAATATACATTCTATTCATCAGCGTATGGAACTTTCTCCAAGAGAGACCATATGATAGGCTACAAAATTAGCCTTAATAAATTTAAGAAAATTAAAATTATATACAGCACTCTCTCAGACCACAGTGGAGTAAAACAGGAAATAAACTCCAAAAGGAACCTTCAAAATCATGTAAATACATGGAAATTAAATAAACTGCTCCTGCATCCTTTATTGGGTCAACAATGAAATCAAGATGAAAATTTAAAAATTCTTTGAACTGGCCGGGCGCGGTGGCTCAAGCCTGTAATCCCAGCACTTTGGGAGGCCGAGGCGGGTGGATCACGAGGTCAGGAGATGACCATCCTGGCTAACATGGGGAAACCCCGTCTCTACTAAAAATACAAAAAACTAGCCGGGCGTGGTGGCGGGCGCCTGTAGTCCCAGCTACTCGGAGGCTGAGGCGGGAGAATGGCGTGAACCTGGGAGGCGGAGCTTGCAGTGAGCCGAGATCGCGCCACTGCACTCCAGCCTGGGTGAAAAAAAAAAAAAAAAAAAAAAAAAAAAAATTCTTTGAACTGACAAATAATAGTGACACAGCCTATCAAAACCTCTGAGATACAGAAAAGGCAGTGCTAAGAGGAAAGTTTATATTCCTAAACACCTATATTAAAAAGTCTGAAAGAGCACAAACAGATAATCTAAGGTCATATCTCAAGGAACTACAGAAACAAGAACAAACCAAACCCAAACCCAGCAGAGAAAGGAAATAAGCAAGATCAGATCAGAACTAAATGAAACTGAAACAAACAAACAAAAAAAGATAAATGAAATAAAAGCTTATTCTTTGAAAAGATAAATAAAATTGATAGACCATTAGCAAGATTAACCAAGAAAAGAAGAGAGAAAATTCAAATAACCTCAAATAGAGGAGATGGATAAATTCCTGGAATGATACAATCCTCCTAGCTTAAATCAGG